TGTTTTAGATGTTTCCGGAAAGATAGGAATCCTTACCCACGTATTAAATAAAATATGCACGCACGACACTTGTAGTGGCACGTTCGATCCCACGATTTCGCTTGACAAGATAAAACGGGTACACTGCTCAACCAAACTTCTTCGCGTTTTCCCTTCGCTAAAATCGTACATATCTTGTTTAATGGATGCAAATTGATCCTGTTTCTTTCAAGACTAACGTTGTCACGTAACATTTTCACTGTAATGACGGTCCATTGGTTAGAGAGAAAAGGAGAGAAATGAGGTTTAACGTCCCTTGACACAAATCAGGTCACCTCGGGCTTAACAATTTTCTCTAAGACGTCAACCACAAAATATGTTATTTTTGTCATTCACTCCCTTTCCCTATTTCCTACTTTTGCATGGCGATCTTTGTTGACTTTTGGTGTAGGTTGAAATGTAGTGCGGAAAATTGCATTTTACTCTTCTCTACTTCCAGTTTGTGTATGTCAAGTTTTCCATGATAAAACTCATAAGTGCTTTTGAGCAAGAGGTTGCCACGTGTTGCTCTATCTGTCTTAGAAAGTGTTTTACCCAACGAATATTTGGGAAAAAGTTACAGCCGAGCTAAGAGACGAGAATGAACATTAAAGTCAATGGGGAAATCATTACCCATAAGGGTCTTGTTTCTTGAACAGCAGTTTTGTCGCCTACCTTTTTTCAAATTCCAACTGTCAAATGTTTTTACGTACATCTCCACGTGTTAACGAAAAGGGGCCATTTATACTGAGGGCGAACGTGACTACTACCCAATGCAACGGGGAATGTGTAGATATGCAGATAAAAATACCAGCAAATAGGGCATTGGTAAGAAAAACACACGGATATACAGACATTGAAAGTTACCTATGCGGAACCATCGTGTTATTTTCTGTGGATGGGAATGAAAAGAATTATGAAGCATGGAGAAGGATTATGTTTCTGGGTAGAGGGTAAACATTAAATAGGTTACTTCATTCATAAACAGAAAAATACATAAAATATTTTAGATAAGTATAAAGGTAATACAAAGAGTTTGTAGCCCGAGTAGTGTAGAATGATTATAACAGCAACAGGGCGACTCCCTGCGAATGGATATTTCCTTGGCAGTGACAAAAAGGTTACCAAGAACCCCTCGTGAAATCCCTCTTTTGGGTCACCCAAAATGAATTTCATCCATTGGCATATTGAAACACGCACACCTGGAACAACAAAACAAAGCTAGTAAGTGACTTAGTTGCTTTGACTATTCTGTCATTGTCAGATTATTCACGTTTCAACAAGTAAATATAAACACCGAGAGATATATTGACAATTGGAGTTGCGTGCGGTTGTCTGAAAAACGTTCGCGGACTGATTGGTAGGCTTAGGTTAACAAACACTATAATAGACATTTTTTTAAAGGACAATATTATTGGTGTCAGTCATTATCACATATGTGATAGAACTAATTAAACACGTTCCAAATATAATTTTAACACATAGATCATTGCTACGATACCTGAGTAATACAGGTTTCCTGAATCGGAAGCCAAAGGAAAACATGAGCCATCACTCTATCTAACTGACTGAAGTGCCGAGTGATAACAGATACATAGGCGAATTTCTGCTCACTAATAATTCCTTCCAAGACCAATAGTTGTGGTGTGAGACTTACACGTTGAAAATACGAATTATTTGTCAATTCAAATCAACATTGATGTTGTGATCTTACCAGGAAAGAGTAGGCTTCTGATATCTAATATTTAAGACAAAATAAACATTTTAACATTGGTACACGAATCGTGTACCATAAGTGCGTTTCAGCGTCATTTGTAACAAGTGACCGGAAAAAACGAGGCAAGACATATTCCACAACTCTTGTCAAACGATGACGCCATATCTTATCTGTAGAGCATGCGCAATATACGAGAATAACCAGACGCTAGAAATTGCTATTTGGTTGAGACTCATGCCGTATTTCGCTGGACATAACCGATTTGAAATTAAGAGTCAAAACGGAAAAAATTAAATGTAAATCAGTTTATATACAATCAGATTACATTATTATATGCGTTGTGACCCATTTGGGTCAATTTCTAGGTCTCAAATATTAGCGAATTAACTCCTTTAAATCCATCCACTTCAACGTCTCTCATCGTCTATGGTTGAGTCATTGGTTAGCTTGTAAAGGGTGTTTAAATAAAAATATTGATTTGCTGATTCGTTAATAATGAACGAATAGTGACACCTGAGGTAATCAAAAAATGAGCAATATACAATACTAACATAATAATTGTAAGACGTACATTATAATGTATACTGAATACTGACGATGTGAATTTCATATCAAAATAAGAGAGGGAGAGAGAGAGAGAGAGAGAGAGAGAGAGAGAGGATGGGTAATACACGGAATTGGGTAGGTTTAGTTATTATCTAACATCCCTTTGTCGGCTGAGAGAGAGAGAGGGGGGGTTTAACATCCTCTCGACACAAACTAGGTCATTTCGGGACTAACATATGGTTCCATTTTATTTCACTAATTCGCTTGGGCGTAGGGGTCTTTAGCAGTGGGAGAAACCCCACGAGGTTGGACAGACGACCCTACTCCTTGTCATGTACAACCGGCGATTCGAAACCACACCAGTCGACTCAATGACAGACCTTACGATACAACGCGCACGTGCTAACCACCCCCCTCCCCTTCCCTTCAACACGACATAAGCTACGATGCAGTTATCACGGTTATCGCCAGTGACACCAAGTAAACGACATGCATGACATATAACCAGAAATATGAGATATGTATAATAAGTAGATTAAAAAATTGATCTATCCAAAGTGTCCCAGAAAGGTTCTGTCATGTTCGCTGACACCAAGATCATCCTGTGTCAACCCCTGTGATCTTTATCTGAAAAGGGGGTGCTTGATTGTCAGTCTGCAACGTTCCGAATCGACAGAATACCATCAGTTCCGCTAGTTCCAAATGGAAAACAATATATACTGGTGTTATGACTACTTCAAGGATTTTGCAAATATGGGGCTTTTTACAAAGCATGTGTGTGCTTTGTCACAAGGTAGTTATCACCTGTTATGATAAACGGGTTATGTTTGACTGTGTTATAAATACAACCTATTTTGAATTTATTTCACTGTCGGCACAAGGACACATATAACTATATGGGAAAGGGGAATGGACAGGATTGATATTTATCTTTTTGGATTTGCCTGTAGAAATTTTTACATATTCAAATAACACTGTGTGCAAACATTACAACAGTCTGACTGTCCACTTATTCGCCTTAGTAAATACGGCCTACTTAACAGCATCGCCGAAGACTTACCTTCATTTTGTTTTACGTATTTTACTTATTTAACTTATACTAACATCGACTTGGCGGCAACCTGTTTTAGATAGTTGGTAAGTTGGGTGCCACAAAAACATCAGATAAATCAATGGGGGTAAGTTCTACCATTGATTCGAAAGTTGCACAACTTGCTCGTGGTGGTCTTTCCAATTCAGTAGGCATCAGCACACATCAAACCCAAGCAAAACCACCCCAACATGCTAGAATTACAACCATATACAGTGGTTATCATTCGCCAATTTGTCTCTCTCAGAGGTCTACGCGGTTATGAAATTCGTGCATCTGTACTCGTACAAGCTGGAGAGGGGGGTATCCACTTGAACCGAGAATCGGCTTACTCCCCTCTCCCAATAAAGCGCATCGAACCAAATGAAATTAAATGAAATGAAATGGGGTTTAACGTCCTACTGTTCTGCTTCTATACTGGGCTAATGAAGACGAGCATACGCCATAAAGTGTGCTATGAGGTAAAGTTTGCCCGGGCAGCGGCACTATCGCCTACTCTTATATCGAATTCCAATTGCCCGAGGAGCGCATCGCACCAACTCACACAATCAGTACAGTGCCACCCAACTCAACCAGTGTTTCTTATAATAGCAGCTTATACATCCAAAAAGGCAATTAGTGGTCTTAGACAACTTGTCGAGAAATCTTTGCACCAGACCAAGCGATAGGGCGACGGAAACTACTAATGTGCAGACGATACCAATAATAAATCTTTTAGATCAGGGTACATTCTGATTATGTATACTACATCTGTTAACACTGTTCATCACGTGCATTTTGCATACGGATAGTCTATTGGCCAATTACACTATTTTACCCAGATTTCGTCTAATGGTTTGGATGCAGCTATGGCGGGTGTGGCGCCCAGCAGGGTAAGCTTACTCCCCGGACACCTGTTACCACTGTTTGTCGTGTATTTTTTACACGGTGAACAGACCATTTGCTGATAACACTATTTTGCCTTTACCTTTTTTTCGGACTTGGAAATTTGTCTAATGGTTTGGATTGGTCGTAGTTGGTTTTATTACATTTAGACCATTATTTCTCACACCAATAGTGTTTCCCACCAGACAGTGCGGCATAAATGCTCAACAGAACAGCACCTAACAAATTATAACTGATTTTGAGTCCGAGGTAGCCAAGGCCACACGTCAAAGACAGAATAAAGAGATGGGGTTTAAGGTCCACTCGACACTAACTAGGTCATTTCGAGACTAACACTTGATTCAATTTTATTTCAAACATTTGCTTGCATGCAAGGGTCTTTAGCAGTTGCGGGGAACGGAAGAGCCGGAGAAAAGCTTACTCCATGTCGCGTATAAGCGGAGAGTCGAAACCAGTTGACTCTATGACAGATCTTGTGATTTCACGCGCACGCGTTAACCTTTCGGTCACCAACCCACCACGACCTCGACAACATAGATTTTATAGCTATATTCAGCAAGACGTCATGTCAGTGGATGGGCGCCGAATGGTTATGGGTGTTCAACCGAATGCACTTATTGAAGATGACTATTTTAGTTAATTTGTAACTTAGACTGACTGGGTGCTGAACTTTAACCTGCTTTACCTGATAACCTGCTTTACTCCATGCTAAAAAAATGTACTATATCATGTATATCTTTTTATCTACTTATCATGTGATTACATTCATGTTTCTATAGGTCTTACAGATTAATCTATATTCAGGTGCCAGGCGAAAGTAGTTTCCGTTCCCAAAATGATCCAACTATAATAGAGATCTTTACTCTGAACACCGGTTCCAATGCCAAGCGATGAACTTAATGTGATTCCGAAAGTGATCCAAAACGCAAACCTTGACGTTTTGGAACTCTTAAACAACTTTGCCTCAAAAGAATGGGGAAATAGAAAATGCAAATGGGAGAAAGAATGCGTGCTGAACAAATGAATCTTTTACAATCATTGAATAGAAAAAAAAACAAATAAAAGCTTTAATTGATTCCATAAATTTGTTAGTACATAGCTACAGGTATCTCATACATTTTTACATTTTCATAAGATAGGAATATAGAACATGTCATAATAATCTTAACAAATATTTCAATCTTGGTTGTATCTCAATATTTAAAGATGACGTGAAAATCTACCCTTGAGAATTCCAAAATCGCATTCAATAATTACTCTATTTGACGAGAGTAAAGTATTAAAGATTCTCTGGTTAGCTGTGAAGTGACGTTATTCCTTAAATGGCCCATCAACCAGTTTTAAAGAGGATATTCTCCACCTTGTACTTCTTGACAATGCTCCGTGCCTTTTGAAATGAAAATCCCATAAAACAATCATTATGTTTTGCTGTTATCCGGAAATGGGTGCCAACCAATAACCGTCCAGGAAACACTTTTCTTAATTCAACAGCTTGGAAGTTAATGTCTATTTGTCCATATATCATTTTATCCTTGATCATTTTATTTTTGATATGTTCTAATCTAATGGAAGGGGTTCAAAAAGTGCAATAAGATATTCCATTTTGAGCGATTCATATTTTTGTTGGCTTTGGATCTAGGTACACCAATAACAACAGACAAGACATGCAGTACTGTATTCTTCTAGAATACTATGTCAAACACAGCATTCATACACCCACAGACAAACACATATAATAACGGATGTATATGAAAATGACCATACCCTGAGGCGAATAAGGCAGATGTAGAAATAATATCAAAAGTATCTTTATTGTCCCCATAATCCTCTTCGACAAGAATTTCATCGATTATGAACAACAGATTGGTTGCCATTTCTGATAACTACTCCAATTTCTATAATACTCTTCGACAAGAATTTCATCAATTATGAACAACAGATTGGTTGCCATTTCTGATAACTACTTCAATTTCTATAATACTCGATAGTCACTATGTTTGGGTTTGAGAGAATTCAATTCGAAACGTTCAGTCGAGTATCCCTTTTCCATGTCTTCATGGAGGGGTAACTATTTATACCTTCAAAGGGAGGTAATTGTTTAAAGGCGACAATTAAAACACCTGGTTGATTGTTGACATTTCTATTTCTTCTGATGAATCTGTTGATGAGAATATTCTATAATTTAAATTTCAACACAGTATAGTAAAAACAGGTCGTTCAACAACATTTCATTCGAATCCATTTATATGAAATTTAGATAACACCAGTATAATATTGACAGTGTCACGTATAGAATAAAGCACTTAATAGTGTTTACATGAAATGTAGATAAAGGGAGAGTAATGTTACGTATAAATGAAATGAAATGGGGTTTAACGTCCTACTGTTCTGCTCCTATGCTGGGCTAATGAAGACGGGCATACGCCATACAGTGTGCTATGAGGGAAATTTTGCTCGGGCAGCGGCACTATCGCCTACTCTTATATCGAATTCCAACTGTCAAGTAATCTTTTACGTGCATTCCAATGCATACACGGGACCTCGGTTTTTCGTCTCATCCGAAGGACTAGGCAGCTGTCCTTGGCAGGCCCTCCGTCTGCATCACTGACAAGGGAGAATCACGCCAGAAAATCTGGCTGAACTTTCTCGGCCAATGCAGGGATCGAACACCCGACCTCCAGGCTAACAAGCCAGCGTCTTACCCACTTAGCCACGTGATCCCCGTTACGTATAAAATAAAGCACCTTATAATGTTTATATGAAACGTAGATACCGAGAGTATAATTTTTATAATGTTACATATAAAATAAGACATCTTATAACATTCATAAGAAATTTAGATAACGAGAGTATATTTTTATGCAACATATAAAATAAGGCATCTTATAATATGAAATTTAGATAACGAGAATATAATTTTTATAATGAAATTTATATACCGGGAGTTTAATTTTTATAATGTTACATGTAGCATATAGCACATTATAATGTTTATATGAAATTTAGATAACGAGAATATAATTTTTATAATGTAACATATAAATAAAGCAGTTTATAATGTTTATATGGCATTTGGATAACCGTTTGATCAACTGGTATGTTATTTCCCATAGCAGCAAAGCACATGGGCTTTATCCATAACAAGTTAGGACCTGGGTCCTTTTTCACGAAAACTTAAACTAAGTTACAACCGAAATTTTAAGAAATACTGCAAATTCATTGGATATATGCAAATTGATTTTACTGGTCAGCCAATCGAATTGCAGTATTTCTTAAAATTTCGATTGTATCTTAGTTTAAGTTTTCGTGAATAAGGGCCCAGGGTAGCTATATATCTTTAGTCTTTGATATATGATAGAGGAAATCTAGATATTAATTTCTGTATAGCTTACCATATTATTGCGAATACAAAGATGACCAAAATAAGACACCAATAAAAATCCATTGTATATAAGTTCCTGTAAATATATATATTCATTGATAATAATACATCAACTGTAATTACTATGGCTTTACAAATATACGTGTATTTAATATTTGTTTAGTTACTATTATAATATAATATCCAAAGCCATATATCGAGATAGAGAGCCACTATTTGTATAATGACTAACTGACTATGGGTGATAACTGATGAATTTAAGTAAGATTCATACTCTATTGAACTAATCAGAATCTAGTCTCGGTCACCCAGAACCTCCTAGTCTTCAACGTACGGGGGCATCTGGGTCCGTTGTCAACATTGCCCAAATTTCCATTGCTCATGCGTTGGCGGGAGGTTGTTTTGTTATGTGGTTGATTTTTCGTCAAGTCAAATAAGAGTTGCGCCCCCTCCCGAAATAAATTCCATAATTCATGCATTATTATAAACAAACATGAATCGTCACGATAAATTTGGTTTAATATAAAAACATAGATATGGTTTATGAATAGAGAAATTTTACAATAAAATATTTTAGAGTGTTTGATATTGAACTGGCAACGCAAGTGGATTTTTTGAAATGGCAATTCTTAAATTAATTTCATGGGCGTTGACGTCTTGTTTTAGGGCTTGTTACCCTTGTTCATGACAACGTAAAAGAGTGGATAACCAAGCCAATAACCTTTCATTCTCAAATGTTGACAACCCATCCAGACCAATAATTGAAGAATATTTTTTCTGAATGATTGAGACTATTCTGAATGTTTTATGTGGCTACTAACAACTGTTGACGATTGTATGTACATAGACGGACTTGATAACTATACTAGGCTTTAATATGGTAGTTTAATAAGCAAACCAAAGAAAAACCAAATCGGTAGTGGGTGTAAACCATTCGCAATTAGAAAACAATAAAATTATATTTGACGAATCTTAATTCGTGTCGATTTTGGAAATCAAGTAAAGAAACGGTATAAATACAAACCAAGGCGTGTTTGTTTGTTGCACACCAGATGCTCGTAATGGTCACCAGTGCACCTAGCCCCTTCATGTGTAGGTGTTGAGTTGCTGAAATTAGAAAATCTGATTATTTCTCCGCCCAAATATTTGAAAGACTTTAGAATTATTGCCCATATGTATTGGGCTAAATTAGAATTCTTGCATAGTATGATATAGTATAACACAACCACAGTAACCCTGAGACCTCTTTGCTCGGCGGGGGGGGGGCGAATGGTTAGCACGTGTGTGCTGTATTATAAGGTCTGTCATTGAGTCAGCTGGCGTGGTGTCGATTTCCCGGTTGTACGTGACAAGGAGTAGGATCGCCTGTCTAACCTCCCACTGCTAAAGACCCCTACGCGCAAGCGAATCATTGAAATAAAATTGGACCATATGTTAGTCCCGAAATGATCTAGTTTGTGTCGAGTGGGCGTTAAACCCCATTTCTCTCTCTCTTTTCCTCGGTCACACCCCTTTGCTAGCTCATCTACCGTCCATCAAGATCCCTTATGTAATGAGCAAGATGACTACTGTGTACCTCTCTGTCAAAAATTCCTGTTGTAATATAACATTTTGAACACGGATTTGATGTTTTGACAGAAGTTATACATGTTACCCATCAAGGTGCAGGGGCGGATCCAGGATTTTTTGCAGGAGGGGGTTTGCCAGGTTCCTGTTAAGGAAATCTGTCATCATCGTCTCTAATTTACATAGACATACATACAAATTGAGCTTTTTAAAGAGAGAAATCATTTTTGTAATGATTTAGGAACACATTGTGATTTAATTTCATTGATGCAAGGCATTCAATTTTTTTTACGTAGCTGAGCAGGTTGGGGTTTGGACCCCCCCCCCCCTCTGGATCCGCCCCTGGTGCCCACAAATAAAGTTTTTAATAAATTGAAATTGGTTGAGGTCATCTACTGTGCTTTGTGTATATATTTTCTCTTTTAAAATTATTTATTTTATTTCAGATAATTGCATCATTAAAATATATTTAATAATAAACTAGTACACCGACGTCTGTGTCAATCTAAGACAATGAAGATGGAATGACGAAGTTTGCTCCATTATTATACTACAACTGCATGAATAATATTTATGTTGTATGATTTAGAGATAAATATATATATAATTACATACCAGAACAAGCCTGTTGGTAACATGCAACCGGTTCAGTAGAACTACCAGTACAGTTGTCGCCCCCGTTAGTCGGCGCAGGGTTGTTACACTTCCGTGTCCTACTGCTAGTGCCTACCCCGCACGACTCGGAACAGTTGGTGTATGACCAGTCACTCCAACCACCAGACATCGCTGCAATAACACAGAAACTTTATGCGTATATTTAGAGGTACAATTCCTTACCGTTGGGTGTGATATGTTATATACACAAGTTATACACATATATAACATACAAACACGTGTCAAATACATATAAAATAACACATACGGTATTGACATATGCTATCTAGGGTATTTACACTTTATATACACATATACGGTATCAACAAATGATATACACTTATCAATATATTAACACGTATTACACACATACACAGTATCAACAAATGTTATACACATATCAATACATTAGCACGTATTACACACATAAGCGGTATCAACAAATGATATACACTTATCAATATATTAACACGTATTACACACATACACAGTATCAACAAATGTTATACACATATCATTATATTAACACGTATTACACACATATACAGTATCAACAAATGTTGTACACATATCAATACATTAGCACGTATTACACACATATACGGTATTAAAATATGTTATATAACACGTTTTCTATTCAATCGTTTGATTTAGACACTTGCAGTATGAACATACGTTATATACATATATTAAAAGTTTATGTACATGTATAATGTATTAATACGTGATATATATAGAGGATATTTGTCGTTTTAGAGTGAATAACATATTTTATTTCATCGAGAAGCAAGAAAACTTATATTTTCACGAATGCGTAGCATTCGTGAAAATATAAATGTTTTCTTGCTTAGAGATGAAATAAAATATGTTATTCACGAGAAAACGACAAATGTTCTATTTATTTTATGATTTTACAATCATTTTAGGGAAAAAACAACTACTTTAGCCAGTGGAATAACACTTTTATTTCACTGATAAAACGCGGTATTCCACTACTGATCATAAAATAAAATGTATTATCAAATGTCATATATATGCTAAAAGTGCTGCATACATATAAAAATTATTACCAATGCTAAACTAAAATGGACATCTTCATGCGATATCACCAAATGGGAAGCGGACTTTAAGCAACGAACCAAAGAACGGCCCCCTTCATTACTATTCTTTATGTGCTTGTGATGCCCAAGATATTCCCACAAGTGATTTTATTTTTAAAAAGCCAAGGTTGTCACTTAGTATGCTGTTTTTAGCACTTGATTTGATTTTTCCAATTGCAGATAAAACCGCCCTTATGTCCAGAAATTAAATACTATTGTTTACTTTATAATGTTTGTTTGGATGGGGCGAAAAGTTAATTGATGTGTAAATTCAAAATGGCCGTCCCAGTAAAGGCATTTTAAGTGGTAAGTGACACTACAAGGTACAGAAACGTTTAAGAAAATATTCATTTTAACATATATTATGCAACAGCTAATTTTGCCCGTTGCGGGTCTTTCTTTATGCCTGAAATGTCATAAAAACTATTAATTAGACCATACTCAACTCTCAGTGCCAACTGATGCTTCCGGTTTTCATTAGATTTGAATCCGATCTACCGTTCAACAGCTATTGAGAACTAAACGCAAAATTGATTAATCGACACTTTTTATTTTCGTCACAAAGGTAACAATGTCAATCGGGGCTACAAGGTTTTAAAATGAGTATTTCTCAGCTTAAAATGAAGTAATTTGACTGAAATTTTCACAATATTCCCATTACTACATTACCTATTATTTAAAGGGGCATTATGGGAGATTAGATAAAGAGCTGACAGTTCTGGAATAACCGGGGTCTCGTATACACGTGAAAAAAACCCGTGGCAGTTGGGATTCAATTGATTTCCGAGTAAATTGGTCATTATAGCACACTATGTGACGTATGTCCATCTTAATTCGCCCGGCAGGTGCAGAGGGACGTAGGTTAAACCCTGTTTAATTCATTCATAACCAGTCATTGTGAAAAAATACCGATGTTGCTTTGATTTAATTTTTTTGTATTTCGATTTACTAATCTTACTGACAAATAGGATATCCCTTGTTATAAATCAATTATACATGTGTGTGAAATAGCTTTATTTAATGAAGACTGGCATACGCCATACAGTATACTTATGAGAAAAATTATGCCCGGGCAGCGGCACTATGGTCTACTCTTATATCGAATTCCAACTGCCAAGGGATATTTTACGTGCATTCCTATGTATAGATGGAACCTCGGTTTTCGTTTCCATCAGAAAGACTAGACAGCTGTCCTTGTCAGGCCCTTCGTCCTGCACCACTGACACGGGGAAACCACTTCGGAAAATCCCGATGAACTTTGTCGGCTCATGCCTGGATCGAACACGCGACCTCCATAATTGTTCCATAAACTAGCCATGCAAGTAATAAGGTACTCACCTGCTTTATTACAATCACATGACACTGTCAACAATGTACCTACAAATACATCAAGGAATTCATGAAACAATAGGTGAGATGCCCCCTGCCCATATTCACATTGCGAATAGCTGATCAATGCCCTGTTAATTGAACAAGACATGGTTTCTCACTGTACCCTTTGTTCTGACTCTGGTGTTCAAGTTACTGATCAACCTGCAGTGTACTGATTCAGGAAGTGAACAGGCTATCATTTGATACCCAACATATTAACCCTGTCATGTTGTGGAAATAGACCATTCATTAACTAGAAACACCGTGTTAATTAAAAAAAAGATAAATACATGTAGTTAACAAGAAATAAATATTATTCTTTAAGTGACATAAGTATATGTATAAGGATTTATAGTTACTGTCTGAACCATCGTAAATTTTAAACGGATTTCTTCGATTATGATCAAACTACTTATCTTTGGTTATTGTAAACTTACCTGTGTGTTTGAAATTAACTCCCGTTATATAAATCCATTGTACAATTTAATATCCCAACGAATAAAAAAGTTTTCTCTTGAAAAAAATGACGTATTTACTTGTATTTTTGACTGAGTTCAAGACAACGTGGCTTTCCTCCCGTGATGGAATCTGTTGGGGGGTATGACAGAGATTTTGACAACCACATGTTGCAATCAAAACAAAGCGTCCTCATTTCTATCGTTTGAGTTTGGGCAACGAAAAATAGCAACTGAAGACAGTTTTGACCGTATTGTGATATGGTGCAATATTTATTGTTCATGATGAAAATATATTCTTTATCAATTATTATTTTTTTTAATTTATTGTAAATAATACTTAAATCACACCATAGCCCCCACCTTCAATAGAAGGCTTAATCTCGCTTTAACTACGTACTTCTTATCAGATGTTGTAAAACTCAAAGTCGTTGCTTCAGGAACATGCGTATAGCCCCATAATTTTAAAGGACAATATTGGTGTCAGTCATAATTACATATATGATAGAACTGGTTAAATACATTCCAAATATAATTTTAACACAGATATCATTGCTACGGGAGATGTGTAACAAGCACGTGACGAAACGGGAACAAACACGAGTTATCCTTCTATGTATCTGACTGATGTAACGAGCTATAACAGACAAACGATCGAATTTCATTTCACTGATAATTCCGTTGAAGTTGAAAAGTTATTATATGGGACGGTGAGAGGGTATCTCAAAATTCAAAAATAGAATTGGCTGTCACTAGATAAGGGAAAACGAGAAAAATAGAAAAATCGCGTGCATTCCCCCGTTTTTATTCATTCTGTTCTTAATAAAAACATGGTAATGCACGGACTTTTTCTAATTTGTTCGTTATCTTTTATCTAATGACAGCCAATTCTTTTTTTGAATTGTCAGATATCCTCTCACCGTCTCATATAATAGCTTTTCATCTTCAACTGAATTATCAGTGAAATGATATTCGATCGCGTGTCTGTTATTGCTCGTTGCTTCAATCAGTTATATAGTAGGATAACTCGTGTTTGTCATGTTTGTCGTCACTTCCCGTTTCTTCACGTGCTTGTTACACATCTCCCGTAGCAATGATCTCTGTGTTAAAGTTATATTTGGGATGTATTTAACCAGTTCTATCACATATTTTATAATGACTGACACCAATATTGTCCTTTAAATACCCTGTACATGTACGTTAGATCTATCATGTTATATATCAGATTAAAGATATTCATGGGTAAAATTTTAGACCCGTAAAACTAATGTCATTGTTTTTGTATCGTATTTGTGTTCAAAAGAAAAAGTCATTCACCCGACTCTAATCAAAAATATGATTAAAACAGAATATTTCAAAAGGTAAAAGCTATAAACTTTGCAGAGATTTTACTAGAAGGTTAAAGATAGTAACAAAATAAAGGAATACGGGCAGTTATGTGTGTGAACGCTCAAACTCAATACAGAGCCGGGATTACACAAAACTTGAATTGTCGTAAAAATACCGCAAACCGTGACATCTTGTGACCCCTTTATACGAAATGATCTCTCCCCAAGAGTGACGTAATCGGCTTCCATTTTGATATTTCTCCATGTCAAAAGTTTGTGGGAATTCAATTTTTTCAAAAGAGAACTTTTTTATTCGTTGGGATATTAAATTATGCAATGGATTTTAATTAACGGGAGTTGATTTCAAACACACAGGTAAGTTTATAATAACCCAAGTTAAGTAGTTTGATCATAATCGAAGAAATCCGTTTAAAATTTACGATGGTTCATACAGTAGTGAAATAGTAACAATAGCTAGAAAACTCATCCAATAGTATAAGGAACAAATACACACAAACTAATGAACTAGGATAATGTCTTCTAATTCTATTTCAAAACCCTCACATTAGACATGATCTGATTTGTATGCATCGTAAATAAACAGCTATAAACTTGCTATATTCAGGTTATTCGGGTACAAACTGGGTGATTTGATGATATATTTGGACTAAAAACATATTCAAACTAATTAATTTATCATAATTTTGTTTCAAATCCTTCTCAAAACATTGCAATTGCCAGGGAAAAACCTAGCTATAACAAATCGATCAAAAGAGGTCATGTTTGTGTCACGTGACTTAACTCTCTCTCGAAGGAGATTTCACTGCATACAAAAGACGATGTTGTCTTTAATCGCCGACTATTTATTACAAATATCGAAGCCTAATTTAATTCTCGGATTATCCACTGCCCGCGTCTTTTTCCGTGATTTTTATCTCAGAAAGTGTTGTACGTCTAACTCTTCATAAAGTTTATCAACATGTACATTAAGCGCTCAATCTCTGCGTGCAACCTTTGACGTCACGCGTGCAGACACTCCTAATCGTCGGGCTGTCGATTTGGGAAATCCTTACATTTTTGTCCTGTATACGCTCCATGAATGTTTTTCAAGGAATCCAGTATTTTTCTAGTAAGATTAGATATTTCTACTTTCCATATATACCAAAATTGCCATACTTTCATTGGAAATAACCACCCGCTAAATACTTTTCTGGGAACCTATCTTTAAGTCTTAATTATGAAAGTTTTTAAATAATTATAGTACACATCGGAATTAGTCACAAACTTTAAAAAAAACAACATCTAAAAATACTTTTAAAAAAGGTGAGATAGTACGTAGTGGTAGCTTCGGACAGTTTTCAGTCGCATGACATGTTAGCTAATATTGTCTATTTACAATTGTTTAGGACTATGATATTCTCCATCGACTAAACAAAGATGTGAACCATTTAATATCACTTCCTTGACTTGCATTCTATAGTATATATCATATCAAAGTTTTCCGTTGGATAAGTCGGTGTGTTTATATAAAAAATTTTTTATAAAATATACATAAGTCCTTCTATAAAACAGTATCCAGATTACGTCATCATAACTGGAGGCCATGTTGTTTTACCATACTCGTGTATATACCATGCAGTTTTGTAATAAAGCATTATTATTAATATTATTATTATAAGTCCTACCGTAGAACCGTATCCATATTACGTCATCATAACTGGAGGTCATGTTATTAAACAAAATTCTATATTTGAGTCCTCTGGGGCCCGTGTTACCATTGAAACCAGTGAATACACCGTCATCATTACATGTGTATACGGGTTGGTCATCCTCTGTTACAGTTAATCTGGTACATGATTCGCCATTCAAGTAGGTGATCCAGTTGTACATATATATGTTACCACCATCACTTGTTATATCACAAGAACAAGTTAATTCTTTAACAGGTGAATCTTTACCGCTGAAATACAGGTCGTAGCCATCGTCACGTGATACTTTACTTCCTGTCATGATGTGAAATGCATCAGACTCTGTAAAACATGTAAAATATAAATACCGATTTCATTTTGTAACATTATGTTGTTTTCATTCTGAATTCTATAACCCCAATCCATCCATGGATATGTCTTTGAAGAAACTGTGACAAGAAGGGCTAATGATGAAGTGTATTCAACCCAAGACTCTATCCCAAGGCCAGTAACCTTTTTGTAGTCATTTGACTAAAAAACTTGCGCAAAGGAACTCCGTAGGACGAGCCACTACTGTGGCTGGAGTAAGGCGGAATGAGTCAAGTACCGGAAACCATTCCCCGCTTGTAAATGACACGGAGTAGGGTCGCCTTTCCAACATAGTGGGTTTTCTTCGGGTCCTCCGGGTTCGTCCCACTGCTAAAGACCCCTACGAGAGAGCGAATTAACGAATAAAATTGAACCGTGTGTTAGTCCCGAAATGACCTAGTTTGTGTCATTAAACCCGTTTCTCCCTCTTTCTCGAATGAGAATTCATTCCATTAACACAAAGAATTTGTTGCATCTCTATGGCGCATCTTGTAAAGTTGGACACATTTGCCCCAGGGATTTATTTTGAGTAACACTGGTTCAATCGGATATCAGTCGATATATTGCCAGATCTAATCAAGGATATCAATGCGTGTACCCTGGTAAAATATACTTATATTGTATACACTACTATATGGTTTACTTACCCCGCATACACGAATAACCATACTTTACGTAGCTGTAACCAGTTGATAGTCTATAAGGGGGACTGATGGTACATGCTTGTCGATACGTACAGTTTTTAAAGGCATGTAAAAGGTCTTCTTTGCTGGAACGTTTATGTACATCACCCGTACTATAGGAACAACATGGACTAGTTCGACAGTCCTCTTCATCTTGTAGTTTCGGGCATTTAATAGTATGTGGTTTGGAATAGTAATGCATGCCTTCGATTCTGATACGTCTACCGACAGGACAAGTTAAAGTCTTCTTTGAACACAGGGAGTCTTCTGGTTCATAACAACCATATACACTATCTGCTACCACCACCATTACTATTAAACAATTAGAGTGTGATTAGAATATGGTAACAAACCATACACAACCAGCATTACTATAAAACAAAACATGTGCTGTATAATAAATTAACATGCATTATAATCAGAACATTTTAGCTCATCAACATAATAAACACCGGAACCATAATATACATTCATCATAGACATTTATTTTTCAATGATAATGATAATTTCAAATAATGTGGACATTGTTGACTAGTAAACGTAATACCAACGTTTATCGGTCCATATACCAAGACATCAGAAGCCTTTTGTGTACCCGTCTTCATTAGCCTAGTCGGAGCAGAACAGTAGGACGTTAAACCCCGTTAGTACGAGCGCGCTGTATCATCAGGTCTGTCATTGAGTCAACTTGCGTGGTTTCGATTCCCCGGTGGGTTTTCTACGGGTCCTCTGGTTTCCTCCCACTGCTAAAGACCCCTATGCGCAAGCGAACTATTGAAATAAAATTGAACCATCTGAACCATCTCTCTCCCGCTCTCTCTCTCTCTCTCTCTCTCTCTCTAACCATTAATGATTGTCATTTTAATCAGTTGAACATTTCAGTGCTATAATTATAACTATTGAAAGTTTCATAATGCTATTTAAACTTCAGTTGGTGGCTTGATAAATTGTTCTTATAAGACGTCAATATCAGTTTGGTTTCTAAGTCAGTGTGTTATTTTCTATATAATACTGCATTTATTAATATTGTAATAAATGATTTAAATACCTGTATCTAGCAAAACTAGGGCTAAAAATGAATTCAACATGCTTGCCATAATCTGGAATAGAAATACAGTTTTTCTCATTAATAAATTCCGACATGGTATATTTTAGATAGAACTACTGTTTTCTTTTGTTGTCCTAATTGTTCTTGCCGTATGGTTGGGTAGGTCACTAATTTCTGACGTCACTAATGTCATCAAGAAATTACCTTTGTCGATATATTTGGCCTCAAATGTTATATAACTCATTTATTGGACATTTATTCACATGCCAAGCCTGTGGATGGTTTTGATTTTCAACGGATTTAAATACGATTGCCTGTTAATTAAAAAATGAAACTAAGTCATTTGAGTATGAAATTGTTTGCCATCGAATTTATATAACACGTCTTTTGTCTACACGACGTCTTCATTGAATACATCGATTCCCCGGTTGTACGTTGGGTTTCCCCGGGTCCTCCGGTTTCCACCAACTACTAGGGGGGTTGGATGGCCGAATGGTTAGCACGTGCGTGCTGTATCATACGACCTGTCATTGAGTCAACTGGCGTGGTTTCGAATCCCCGGTTGCACGTGACAAGGAGTAGGGTCGCCTGTCCAACCTCGTGGGTTTTCTCCGGGTCCTCCGGTTTCCTCCCACTGCTAAAGACCCCTACGCGCAAGCGAATTATTGAAATAAAATTAAAAACCATATGTTAGTCCCGAAATGACCTAGTTTGTGTCGAGTGGACGTTAAACCCCATTTCTCTCTCTCTCCTCCCACTACTAAAGACCCCTACGCGCAAGCGAATTATTGAAATAAAATTAAACCGTAATTTAGTCCTAAAACGACCTGGTTTGTCGAGTAGACGATAAGCCCCATCTTTCTCCGGGTCCTCCGGTTTCCTCCCACTGCTAAAGACCCCTACGCGCAAGCGAATTATTGAAATAAAATTGAACCATATGTTAGTCCAGAAATGACCTAATTTGTTTCGAGTGGAAGTTAAACCCTCTCTCTCTCTCTCTCTCTCTCTCTCCCTGCACTGTATGGCGTATGTCCGTCTTTATTAGCCCAGTTTAGGAGCAAAACAGTAGGACGTTAAACCCCATTTCATTTCATTTCATTTCGATTGTATCATAGAAGATTTGAGCCTTTTTGAAAATCTAATCTTACTTTTTTTTTTCAAAAGAGTCTTGGTGGCTCAGTGAGTAAGGCGCTGCCTCGCTATCTAGCTCAGAATCTGAGCTTGTTCTGTCCATCTCTTACAAAATGTGGGCGTATCTTGCATGGCAGCCGCTTGTTTAAACAAAAAATGTCATACTTTGAAATCGGGTAAAATGTTGATGGTAAATGACAACAAAACATATTAATCTACATATTAATGTATAAGTGTACGATTGGGTTGTGTAGATGTGGCTAGTTTCGATTTGTTTTTATTAGTAGTAGTTTATAAATAGTACGTAGTAGTTAGATAACCATGACTACGGTCATCTATATTTAGATTTAGGTCACATAGTATTAGCAATAGCCAGCGACTGGATAATTAATCTAAGGTCCCTGATTTACGCTGCATGCTGACAGTTTCTTCCTAAATTTGGTAATCATATTTATAACTCGTAGGTGCCTTATATATTCTATTTTTGTAGTTTGATAGAAAATTATATCTTGTATATTTTCATCGTATTGTCATGTGCAGATACCATTCTTATATATCATAATATTAGCGAGTTTGTGTTCCTTTGTAATATTGTTTTTTGAAGAAATGTTCCATGACACCGTGTCCAATATTGTCTCCCTTTATGTAAATAACTGTATTTGAATGTATATCATACAATTATAATTTATAGGCATACTCTATGACAAATTTAACGTAACTAAAATATACTTTTCAGAGTCAGTTTTTTCAGTAATCACATTGTGTTAATCTGGTAAATCAAGTTGAATTTATTTTGATGGCAATGTATATTTTGTTTACAGAAGGCCAGTATACTTTATAAGATTGTATGATTATGTAATGAAATCTCCGAAACATTGCCATCTTGTTGTTAAAATGGGATATTCCGTTTCTAAGGTCGTAGCGAGCTTTAGTATTTTCACCAATAGTTCTTGGCAGTTCCTCATAGAGCACACAGACTAAAAACTGCTTGCGGTTTAAACACAGATATACCTTTTAGATGTTTGCGTATAATAAAAAGTTACAGACCAGTTTATTATCAGATACAGCCTTCAGACGTTAGCTATTTAACAGAACAGAACGGCTTGAGCTCGGACAGTTCGCTGCTTTTGATCAATATTATAAAAGAGCTTTCCAAGCCCGATATCACCTTAGGTGGAAGTGGACGTAAAACTCCAGAAACGAACGAACGAACGAACCATAAACAACACGAACCTGATATTGTTATTCTTAATAAAACTTTGAAAAGTTTTACAGAGTTTGTTCCATTTATTCCAAGAGAGGGAGAGAGAGAGGGAGAGAGTTGAATACAGCACACGTTTTAGCTAGTACGCCATCTCTTCCGAAGAAGCTCTACTATACAACGGCTTGTGGTCGGCCAATAGACCAATGGTGGCAGAGAAAAGGGGTGTGTGTCCTGATCAACTAACTGCAACAGAACTCCCCCAACCAACTTGATTGCTGCTCAATTTGTTGGCAAATAGCTACAGTTGTATAGAAACAATTAAACCTGTTTCGAGGACAGGTCTAGTTTCATTTATTGTTACATCTTTCACGTACATTTATATTCCTTTCTGCATTTGTCAGTATATAGCGCTCTATATATTTGAGTTACCAAATTTTGCATGCGACTGAATATATCGTTTAAATAAAACTCACCTCAAACCTTGCCATGCATACATATACTAATAAGTATGGATGCTCCAACAACATTGACCTCGTTTGGGTTATTTGGCGTGTACGAGCGAACACGGCTATTTATATATAGATCGCCAGAGGCACAGAGGCTGTCAGTGGAATAAAACGAGCAACGCTACCGCAGCATAATACGTTCACATCCCTGCTTATAGATTGATAAAGTACTTCATAAATGAAGTGAATGAAATATTTGGCTGAAACGACTGTAATACGCTAGATCGGGGGCAATCTAGCATATTGACTTTATCTTGATATAAGCGACCCTTGCATTCGGAGTTCTTCGGTTCACTGAGTTGACAAAGAAACCTTTTAATCGCCAACAATAACATTAAACTATATATAAGCTTATAATTTTACATAACTGATAAAAATTCATTTATTTTGACACGTATTTTCATTGTTATGATTGGGGTTATATATATTTGTATGTTTTCTCTGAATAATATTAAAACAGTAGCAACTCGAATGCAAAATTTTGTTTTCTTAGGTTCAAAGTTGAAGTTAGCTATTTAGTACTATTATTATATGCAGGAATCGAACACCCGACCTTCAGACTAGCGAGCCAGCGCCTTACCAAATTAGCATGGGCGTGGATTTAGGGGGGGGGGGCGGCCCCCCCCCCCCCTTAGAATCGGAAGGGGGGACGAATAGGTCTCTGCCCCCCCCCCCCCATGATTTTGATAGCAAGGACAGATTTTCAGGTTTATATCCACATGAATGTACCGTTCTGAAGGCTATCTAACCACTGTCTTAACTTGGGTCTCGCCACAGTAATTCATCTTCACGATATCTTCCTCCTTAATTGTAGGTAGTCAATCTTACCATATCGTCATCATATTACCCCTAGTTACAGCTTTCATCGAAATAACTCTTGTAAACTGTTCGTAATTATTTTGGTTTGGTAATGAAAGGTTCCAGGGTTCGTCCGCCCCCCCCCCCCAAAGTTATGACAAATCCACGCCCTTGCAAATTAGCCCCAGTCCAGCAGAATAAGCGTTAGTAGCAGATTGTTAGAAACAAAGGGTAACATTACTTTGGTCAATATTTTTTATTAATTAATCAGCCGAAGGTGTTTTTATTTTTTAAGCCAAAACCGCGTCAAATTAATGTCTTTATATTTTTACTTCTCGGTCAACCAAAGTGCACAGTGACAGGCCGCTTATATCAAGGTAAAGTAAATGTGCTAGACCGTCTCTGATTTAGAGTTGTCTGACAAACAAATTTTAAGCTAGGTGTTGGCTTTCTTTTGCCAAATTAAGGGAGGTTGGAGGGTCGAATGGTTACCGCGTACGCGTTGTATCATAAGGTCTGTCATTGAGTCAACTGGCGTGGTTTCGATTCCTCGGTTGTACGTGACAAGGAGTAGGGTGACCTGGTTAACCTCGTGGGGTTTCCTGGTTCTCCAGTTTCCTCTCACTGCTAAAGACCCCTACGCACAAGCAAATTATTGAAATAAAATTGAAACATATATTAGTCCCGAAATGATCTAGTTTGTTTCGAGTTTGCCAAATTTACAGACTAAATATTCACATAAAAATGAATGTGACACCAAGCCTAGCTGGGGATCGGGTATGCACCAATATCAACAGTTGCCGTCCTTTGGATATAAGGATTAAATATGTCAAGTTCCAGGATGACCCATTATGAACTGCGACCTGAAAATGATCATTACAAACATTGGGCATTACTCATTACTGTGCCCCTGGGGGTCGAGACATGCACCAAGATCAATAATTGCCGTCCTTATGGTGTAAGTTCCAGGATGACCCATTATGAACTGCGACCTGAAAATGATGATTATAAAAATTTAGCATTACTGTGAACCTGGGATCGAGACATGCACCAAATCAATAGTTGCCGTCCTTATGGTGTAAGAAATAATTGTGCCAAGTTTTAAGATGAGCCATTCAGAATTCCAGCCTCTGAACGATAAATACAAAATGTAGGCGTGGCTCTGTCCCCGAGGGGGTGACATGGGCCAATATAAATAGGTACAACACCTATTGAAATGATTAATCATGCCGAATTTGAACAAAATATGTTTATAATTGTACCTTATAGAGTATTTACAGACAAAATATTTTTTTTAAAGTGTGTGTGGCACCTCCCCTGGGAGTCGGGCATGCACCAAAAGCAGATGTGGCTATCCTTACCGTATAAGGAAAACATATGCGAAGTTAACAGATGATCCATTCAGAACTCCAGCCAGCAGACAATACACACAAAAATTGGGCGTGGCACTGGGAGGTTGGACATTGGACAAAAAATAGGCGTGGCTCTTACTTATTTGTCAATGAAGCCATGAAAAAATATTCTTCTTTACTCGTTACTCTTTTAATACGTAGTTACGAACTTGACAAAAAGTTTGGCTAAAGCTCAGTGATTTTATTTCTGATTTAGTTGATTGTAACCAATGATCTATGTATTGTAACGGTTGTCGGTTCAGAGTCACCTCATGTAGTTTCGTTCTTTTTCTATCTTTTAAACTCACTCTTTTAAACTATCCGAAACCGAAATAGAGTGACATTTGCTTTTATTCAACCGTAAAACACCGTGGTTAGTTGCCGCCTTGGTAATTTTGGAAGTTACGTTGTTGATAACTCTCAGTACGTAGAACTATTTGAGACTGGAAAAATAACCGAAACAAAAAGTTCCTTTAATTTGTAGTCTATGATAGTGCACAGTATATTTATGCATCTGTGGGACTAAAAATAAAGCGTTAAATTATTAGATTTATAGAGGCCTTTATCCCCTTCCTCTCTGTATTACATGTCATTATAATTTCTTTGTACTTTTTTTTCATAACAAAGATAATACTGCACAATATATTATTTACCCGTTTGACTAAAATTAAAGTTATAAGATTTATAGAGCCCCGGCATATCGTAAAAAAAACAACAAAGCTTTTGCGCATGCGTACAAATGTTGAAAATTCAATCGTCTCATAGAGTGTATTCCATTACTTCGCGGCAAGAAAATAAACGATGTTTCGAGACTGTGGAGAAATTTTCGTTCCGGGGGCGTAGGTCTAAATATTATGTGACCAAGATCCATAACTTATTTTGTCATTAAGATTTAGTTGCCTTGATAAGGGGCCCCCGATCAAATTTTGAACATATTTTTAAAAAATGGCAAAATGGTTATATCCTCAAAAATCAAACGTGGTTAGACTCCGTTTGTTGATGTGTGAAGTTTTTATGGTAAGTCTTATCATATAATGCTAAAATAAGCCCCAAATATTGTTGAATATTGTCTGTTGAATATTTTTCTGACCATGGGTCGTCCTAGTATTGGTGTAATTAAACTTATACACCAAGTTTCATCTCTCTCACTCAATTAGAACTAAAGTTATCGTGTCTCAAAGCATCAACCAATCAAATTGCTTTTCTATGCTTACCCTAAGCAGAAAATGTTCATTTTTAGACTCCATCAAGACATTACCCTAATAAACACCTACACAGACAGACAGACATACCTTTTAATAGCCCCGTGCTTTCTTCGAAAGGCGGGAGACGATAATCTAAACTAAAATCAAATATTATTAACACTATATTGGACGTTAAATTTGAAATAAACAACCCAAAAATTGTGATATATAGTGGTCGTCCAAGCAAGACGTGTGACTTTTCTCTCGCCTGAGAAACGAAAAAAATAGTTATTGTGTATAAAGGAAAGGTCATTGTACACGTGAGAGTATAAGTAAAGGAAGTAGAAGTTCTAGTTAACGTTCATACTCCTCGCAGTGTTTCGTTTGATTAGACCTAATCCCACTCAAGCACTGCCGTAACGAAAGCAAATTTATTTTTCAAATTATGACTGGTCATCAATAGTCCGATTAACAACCCATATTTAATTGGTGTGTTCCCACTTAGCCGGCAGACTGTTAATCCTTTGATTGATCTTAAAACTATAGTCTGTTTAAAAGTAGTCACTCAAGAACTGTTCACTAGTGTTCAGCGTTAATGAGCTCTTAATCTCTCCTAATATTTACAAGTTCATTAACTTAATAAAACAAGAACAATCTTATGTCGAAATCACCATTTCACAGATATTATTGGTGGTACCAAAAGGCCTCGAGTTAAGAAATATCGACAACTTGATACAAGAATTGAACATTTGAAAACACAGTTATTAAATGGCTCTTTAAGTGTAAATCGGTATGGAACAAATATTTCCTATTTAGTGGGGCTGTAAAATGATTGTTATGTTGTAAGACATTTATTTATAAATTATATAATGCTATTTAATAAAAGTTAAATGTGTAAATTGTAATGCATTTTTATATGTGTAAATCATTTAATGTTATTTAATAAACACCCGATTTAATTGCGTAACAATGTCATTCGGGTTTAAACAGAGCTCCACATTGTTTACATAACGTTACGTCATAACTCACGAATTTTTTACGCACAATTAACCAGTGCATTGCAGAAAAACTAATTGCGTGACAAACGAGGCTATTAACGGTTACAATGTAAACAATACTGTTTGGAGACGAACAATACTTTCACCGTTTTTAATACCTTAAATCACTGTCCAACGTTTTATCGAAGACCCCAGATTAGACGAAGGGCTGTCATGTTGCTGTACTTAAGAGAGATCTGATTGAACGGGAAAAATAGACAAACTCCTTCAAAAGCTCAAGTATCATAAGTCAATCCAGCGAGGCCATTGCTTCAGGAATATAGTTAACTTTACGCTTTCTTGTTCTCGTTAGACGGGGTTTTATAGTCCTATCTGATCACTTTAATCATCATACAGGTCCGTAGCCAGCTTGCTAGCTTCGGAGGGGCAGTGAAGTTTTTAGGGGGGCACACCCGGCACAGTCTACAGTAGGTATTTTAGAGCTATGGTCGGCAATTTATTATTGGGGGGGGGGGGCAAAACATTATGTTTTGCCCCCCTCTGGCTACGGGCATGCATGCAATGCCACTATCATCTATCAATACTATCTTCTTATCTATCTATATTTATTTATCTATACTAATATTTGTGACTCTCGTTTGTCTGTCTGTCTGTCTGTCTGTCTGTTCGGGGTTGGCGGCTACACTAGGTCTGCCCCGAGTCTGAAATTTGGGTTATAGTGGTAGCTCGGACCGGGGAGTAACATAGGCCAGGTGGCGTTAGTCTACTACTTCCGGTTTCGGAGTTATGACCCCCGAGCGATGCCGGTCTGTTCGGGGTTGGCGGCTACACTAGGTCTGCCCCGAGTCTGAAATTTGGGGTA